TTCCATATTTCTTCAGAAATTTTCCATCTTTTCATGTCTGTTACTTTCTCTACCACATCTCTTAAAATATCATTTATAGCTTTTAAAAAATTTCTGGTGTAATAGTGCTACAATCTAGGTTGTTTCTCCATTTGTCATTATTGATGGTTTTATCTTTTAACAATGGATTTGCTTAGTTTTAATTAATTTATTTTTTCATAATTTATTTTTCATGCTAGACATTATGTCTAGAAGAACAAGACTGACTAAGATAAATGATATATATACCCAGAAATGGGCATACTTCTTTTTCTGTCAGGGTGAGAGTATTGATTTGTAGTAGGTTCCCTTCTTACATTTATCTTCTTGCACCACAAACTTGAACTCTCCCAACAACGGGACGCTTTTACCTTGTGATAGTGTAGAGCAAGGGTTTTTCTAAGTGTTTCAGCTGTATTATTAATTTTCACCAGTCCCTGCACGTTTGCACTATAAATAGGTGTCTCTCTCCCCCAGTAGATGGACCTTGATGATTTCTCAGTGTTGGGGTACAAGACCATTGTGTCTCCAGGTACCAATTCAGTTCCATAGTATAAGGTAGGCCCTTTGCTCCAGCTGAATCTTGGGAATGGGACTTTCCTACTGTTTCTGACCTTTCCCCTGTGGTAACCAAACTACATGTTATAACTGTGAGTGCTCCTGGGCAGGAGAGATGTTCTTGCCCTTCCTCCAGCAGTAACAAATTTCTGTCTAACATCAGTGAAAGGTCTTGATTTCACCAGTTTCCTGTCTAATCCCAGGGGCAGACAGCTTTTGTTTCTACCTAGCCCCCAGAAGCAGCTGACCCTGAACTGGGCTTTGGAGACTGGGAGGTGGGGTTTCGCTTTTCTCACAATGGCTTAAAGCTTTTGCTTAGTATGAGAAGAGTCCTGGAAATAAGGAGGGGCTTTATGCTTTTATTCCACCAATGGGGGGTGCTCTCTGATCTTCTAGACAGCACCAGGTAGAGGCCTATGGAAATAAAGCTTGTAAGTGAGGGTGAACTCCCTGTGTCAGGACTCCTGATATTTTGAGTTGTCATGACAATCCATGCTCAGCCTTTATAATTTTGTTAAATTTTAGCTGTTTTTTTCTTATCCACTTTTACAGAAGCCACCTTCTTCCTAGCTCAGATCTGCCAAAAGAAAAAATGTTATATGTCTGATCTCTCCTTTCAACAAATGAAGAAAAGAAGAAAGTTTTCCCAATCTATGAAAGGGCATCTATGAAAAACTTAAAGACAACATCACAATTAATAGTGAAAGACTAAATGTTTTCTATCTAAGTCTGGTAACAAAGCAAGGCTGTTCAATCCTATCACTTCTATTCAAAATCATATTTGTGTTCTTTAATGTAATAGGCAAGACAACTAAAAGACATATGGATCATAGGGAAGAAATAAAAATGAAAGTGTCTTTATATACAGACAAAATGATGCTCTATGTAGAAAATCCCAGAGAATTTACAAAAAAGCATAGGAACTAATAAGTGAGTTCAGCAAGGTCACAAGATGAAAGGTCAATGTGATGAAAATCAATAATTCTATATTTAACAATAAAAAAGTATAAATTTAAATTAAAAAAAATACTATCTACAAGAGCATAAAAGACATGCAGTACCTAGAAATAAATCTATCAAAAGGTATTCAAGAAAACAGAAAACATTGCTGGAAGAAATTTAAGACCTAAATTAAAAATGAGAGCTACTCTTTTCATGGATCAGGAGATTCAATACTATAAAGTCAATTCTTAATACCACCTCACACTTGTTAGAATAGCTATTATCAAAAAGACAAGAAATAACAAGGATTGCTGAGGATGTACAGGAAAGGAACCTTTGTGCACTGTTGATGGGAATGGAAATTGGTGCAGTCACTATGGAAAACAGTATGGAGGTTCCTCAAACAATCAGAGCTAGAACTACCATATGGTCCAGTAATTCCACTTCTGAGTATTTATCAACAGAAAATGAAAACAATAACTTGAAAAGATATATGCACCCCGTGTTCACTGCATCGTTAGTTACAGTAGCCAAGATATGGAAACAACCTAAGTGTCCATCAGTGGATGAGTGGTTAAAAAAAATGTGGTATATGCATACAGTTAAGTATTATTCAGCAATAAAAAAGAAGGAAATTTTGTGATTTACGAGAACATGGAGGGACCTTGAGGGTATTATACGAAGTGAAATAAGTCAGATAGAGAAAGATAAATACTGTATGATCTCACTTTTATATGAAATCTTAAAAACATATTAAGCTCACAGATACAGATAATAAATTAGTGGTTGCCAGAGGTGGTGGTGGTGGGGGCAGAGAAATGGGTGAACGGGAGTCAAAAGGTACAAACTCCGAGTTACAAGATAAATGGGTCACTGGGATATAATAATATATAGCATGGTGACTATAGTTAATAATATTGTACTGCATGCTGGAAAGTTGCTAAGAGAGGCAATCTTAAGAGTTCTCATCATAAGAAAAAAAATTGTAAATATATATAGTGATGGATGTTAACTATACTATTGTAGTGATAATTTTTACATATACACAAATATCAAATCATTATGTTGTACACCTGAAACTAATATAATCTGTGCCAATGATAACTCAATTAAAAAGAAGTTAATTCTTCCAAATTAATCTACAGATTCAAAACAACACCAGTCAAAATTACATATACTTAACAAGCTAATTTTTAACTCATAAAGGAAAACAAAGAACCTCAATACACAAAACAATTTTGAAAAAGAATAAAGTAGAGATGAATACTATGTGATTTCAAGACTTACTATAAAGATAATCCAGCTACTCTAGTGTTCTATAAGGTTAGTTGTACATATCAATAGAACAGAAGAAAGAGTTCAGAAACAGACCCACATACACATATATAACCAATTGATTTTTTAAAATAAAACTGCCAAAATAATTCACTGAGGGAAAACCAGTCTTTCCAACAAAGAGTGCTAGAACAAATGAAAATCCACATGCATACAAAACAAAGCCAAAATAAATTACCCCCCACCCTCACTTTTACCACATTAAAAAATTAACTCAAAATAGTGATAGACTTACAAATATAACCTAAAAGTACCAAAAAAAGCTATGGTACTTTTAGAAGAAAACATAGGACACAATCTTTGTGAGTTTGGATTAAGCAAAAATTAATTAGGACTCCAAAACACAAAACATAAAAGAAAAATTTGATAAATGGGACTAGTTCAAAATTTAAAATTTCCGTTTTCAATAACAATGCTAAAATAAAAATGGAATCCACAGACTTGGAAGAAATACTTGGAAATACATGTTAGAGGACTTGTATGTTAAATATATAAAGAGCTCTTATAATACAATATAAATATGGGCTTGATAAGAACAGACACTTTTTAAAAGAAAATGAATGGTTAAAAAGCATATGAAAATATGATCAATGACATTAGTCATTAAGAAAAGATAAATGAAAATAACAATGCAATACCACTACATACCAGAATAGCTAAAACTAAAAAGACTGATAGTAACAAGTGCTGACAAAAAATTTCAAACTGGAAATCTCGCATAGTTGCCTATAGGAATGCAAAATGGTATATCCCTTTGGAAAATAATTTGGCAGGTTTTTTTTTAAGATTATATTTATTTATTTTTAGAAGAGAGGGGAAGGGAGGGAGAAAGAGAGGAAGAGAAACATCAATGTGTGGCTGCCTCTCACGTGCCCGCTACTGGGGGCCTGGCTTGCAGCCCAGGCATGTGCCGTGACTGGGAATCGAACTGGTGACCTTTTGGTTTGTAGGCCAGTGCTCAACCCACTGAGCCATATCAGACAGGGCCAATTTGGCAGCTTTTTATACAGATAAACTTAGGTTTTTCATAATACCCAGCAGTCCCATTTTCAGTTATTTACTCAAGGAAAATAAACAATGTCCATACAAATATCTGTACATGAATGACTATAATAGACTTACTCATAACAGCCCAACCTGAGAATACTCCACATGGCTATTAATTAGAAAAGGAATTAAAAAATTTTTATAACCATACATTGAAATATTATTCAGCAATATAAGTAAAAAAGTTAATGACATGAAAAAACATGATCAACATTCATTACATTGATCTTGATCAGCACTTTACATTAAGTGAAAGAAGCCAGAAATAAGGCTACATATTATATGACTCCATTTCTGAGACAGTCTGGGAAATGCAAACCTATGGTGAAAGAAGTAGATCTGTCTAGACTGCCAAGGTCTAGAGGGGTGAGTGTAAGGGAAATGACTTCAAAAATGCATATGAAAATTTTTTGAGAGTAACGAAAATATTCTTTAGCTTGATTGTAGTGTTGCTCACTTGACTGTATATTTGTCAAGCCTCGTCAAACTATACATTTTAAAAGAACAAATTTCAGTATATGTAAATTATACCTCAATAAACCTCATTTAAAAATTATGTTATAAAATATTTCAAAACTGGAGAGAGATGACACTCACTAGGATGTTTAAGTACCACCACGCTTCCAAAAACAACATGTGATAAGTCTACTTAATAGGCACACTGAGATTTAAAAACTCTTAACTTTTTAGATAAACACATGAGCACATCTATCTCTGTAGAAAACTAAAAATAAAAACTAAAAATAAAAATATAATACCAATTAAAAATAATCGACAACCAAAAAAATTATATGTAGCAATTATGTAATAAAGCCATAGAAAAAGCTGATAAAAGGATAAATAGATGTATGTCCTTTAAAGTATAACATCATCAAAGTGTACCCTTAAACTAAAAAGGATCAATATATGGATGGGTATAATGGTGTCCAATATACTATTTTATTTTCTTTCAATATGCCTAAATGTTTTAATTATCAAGAGTTAAAAATTAAATGGCAAAAACATATTGTAATATGTAAATAAGCTGTTTAAGGAAAAACATTAAAATACGTTAAATAATTTGTATCAAGGCAAACACATGTTGGCCCAGCAATGAGTACCTTGGCAATAGCAGTTTGTTTAAACATGCGAGTAATCAACCCCATAACAGTCTCAGTGGCAACTGAATTTGAAGATCTTATTAATTTTTCCCACTCTTCAAAGCTGGTACTCAATTCCTATATGGGAGAAAATAGCAATGTGTAGAAATGCAACATAAAGAACAGAACAATTAATGCAGTAATTAATCATATCCTACCTTAATTTTTATATATAAAGATATAAAAAGAAAACTCCCAAAGATGCCAATGTGTTCATTTAAAAACCTCAACATGGGGGCAGGTCAGTCACATGTTCGCACCAATGGCAGAAAGTTAATGACAAGCTGTGGGTGAAAACCAAGTCCTTTGCTAACATCATAAATCAAACAATTGCAGCTTCCTCTTAAGGGGAAACATTTTGCAAAGTAAGCATAAAAATGTAAATCCATAAGAAAGCAGGGTAGTTGAAAATATATATGGTAGCAAAGTATTTTTGTAAGTTATGATTTTATTTAGATAAGCATAAAGACTGGGAGCATATTAGTTAAATAAACACATAATATAAACATATATTCTCTTTTATTTTTCTTTCTAATGCTAAAATAGTGGATAAAGAAAACTGGATTTTATTTTTCCAATAACATATTGCTCAATGTTTACAGAATGCTTACTCTAAGATTTCAAAATAAAACAATGCAATAAACAGTCTTTGCTAACAAAGTTATGTACGGACCTGAAGACATTTCAGAGAATATATAAGCATTGCACTACCCAAAATGTAATTTCGCTTTCTGATATGTTTAACTTCACATTTTACATGATCACAGAGTTTTAAGATTTCAAGAATAGGACCATATATAAGTTATTCTAGAGGACAGCTATTCATACTTAAAAAAAAAAATCCTAATGGAGGAAACACAACTTCCCTTGCTTCACACCCCACAGATACTTAGAATTCTTAATACTAAACCTTTGTTGTAATTGAAATACTTTCTATATTCAGCAAAAACATATTTTAATCACTAGGATACCAAACCTTTTCACATTTTTAATGACTAAAGTTAAATTCTTCCTGCTCACTTCTCGAAATAATACAAGGCTAATTCACATGTTCTATTAATTAAACCAATATTAAGAAAGCAGACTTTTCCTTCTGTAAAATATGAAGTACATACAATCTTTCTTAGTATAATTTAAAATTATTTAAAATAAGGCTTCCAATCAAACAAGTGTTCTCACCTTGGCTGCTGCTGACGGAAGATCAAAAGGAATACGCTGTCTGATTTTAGGGGGCAGCTGGGTTAAAACTTCAGTCTTTAGTCTTCTAATCATTATGTCACTTAATAACTGATGAAGTTCATTAAGATTTGATGCTCCCCTACAATCCCACTGAGGCCTTTTACCAAAATATCTGTTAATATGAAGAATAAGCCTGTAGCAAAGCTTAATGCTAGAGAAAGAAAACAATTTATTCAATGTGTTCTTCCTTTTAATAAAAAGCCATGACACTGCTTTAACTGTTATTTTTTAATGCAAAGTAGTTTCAAAAAGATCAGCTTGAGAAATTGTAATGAATAAGATTATACATCGCTCTCAGCTAAAAGAAAACTACTAGTGTCTAAACACAGTGTTAACACTGAGTTCATGCAAGTCTGGAATGAATGGTAGCTCTGACTACCATTGGCATTTTGAGTGGGCTCACACATGGCAGGCACCATGTTTAGCAGATCTAGCCCTAACTAGCACTGTCAGTACACCAGCCAGTCAACAACCAAACCACTTAATTCATTCTCATACCCTCTAGAAGGAGATATTATCTCACATTGATAGCAAAGGAAATTTTTTTTTTTTTAAATTAATTTATTTACTTTTTAAATACATTTGTCTCTGCCTTCCCCCCCCTCTTTCCCTTGCCCCCTCCCACCTTCCCTCCCTCAGCTCTTCCCCTTTGGTTTTGTCCATGAGTCCTTGCTATATGTTCCTTGACTTTCCCCTTCCCTTCCCTTTCCCTGCCCCCCTTCCCTCTTGTCTCTGTTGATTTCTTTTCCTTTCAGTGTTGCTGGTCATATTTGCCTTGCTTCTTTGCATTGTTGGTTAGGTTCTGCTTATAGGTGAGATCATATGGTAGCAAAGGAAATTTTTTAAAAAAACAACAAAACACCACAAACACATTATGAAAGAGTAGGAGATGAAACAGCAGAGGATAAAACATTTAGAAGTCAATGGAGATAGACAAGTGGTCGCTGACTTGGTAAAAGTAAGGAAGCTACAACTTAAAATGCTTGCAAAAGGTAACTTATCTTCTACACCTCCAAGAAGATGAGGAGTTGGAAGCACCAAGGGCGGTGGCAGGTGTTAAGACAAGGATTGAAATCTAAATATTTAGGTTTAGTGAATCTAGTAAACTTTTAGCTGGCCTAAAAACATCCTCCATCATTGTAACAAAAACACTTTCCCAGAAAATTCCCAACCATCTTCAAAGGGCTCATTCTATTGAAATTTAGCGGTTAGAGAATTAATTAACAAAGGAAAAATTCTTGTTAGTCTGTACTGTCATTGCTAATATTAATAATGAACTAACTATCATTTTAATCTTAAAAGCAGCAAGAGAAAAGGAGACAGTTACCTACAAAGGAGTTCCTGTAAGACTGTCAGTTGATTTTTGAAAGAAACTTTGCAGGAAAGAAGGGGCTGGCAAAGAAGCATTCAAAGTGATGGAAAGCAAGGACCTACAATCAAGATTACTCTATCCATCAAAGCTATCGTTTTGAATGGAAGGGCAGATATAGTGCTTCTCAGACAAGGTAAAGCTAAAAGAATTCATCATCACCAAGTCCTTATTACATGAAATGTTAAAGGGACTTATTTAAGAAAAAGAAGATCAAAACTATGAACATTAAAATGACAACAAACTCACAACAATCAACTATTGAATATGAAAAACAAAAACAAACTAAGCTAACAACCAGAATAGGAACAGAATCATAGGTATGGGGATCATTTGGAGGGTTATCAGCTGGGATGGGGAAGGGGGAGAAAGGAGGAAATGGTGCAGAGATCAAGAAGCATAATTGGTAGGAAAAAAACAGACAGGGGGATGTTAACGATAGTATAGGAAGGGGAGAAGCCAAAGAACTTATGCGCATGACTGACCGACATGAAGTAAAGCGGGGGGGGGGGGGGGGGTTTGCTTGAGGGAAGTGGGGTACTGGGTGGATGGGGGCACAGGGAAAAAAAACTGGCACAATTCTAACAGCATAATCAATAAAATATACTTAAATAAAATACAAAAAATAAAGTATGTGTCATGATACTGTACACAAGAGATAATATCATGTAGCCAATGAAAATTATGATTTTAGTTATTGATATAGAAGATATCCTAAAAATAGTGTTTCACAAAAGAGTGTATTACAGAAGAGTATGTATAATATGGCTGTATTTAGATAAAATTGCCGATCACCTGCCTGCCTATCTATCTATTTATCTATCTATCCTTATGTTCCTAAGCAGAGAAGCTATCTAGAGAGAAAGTTACCCAAACACATTAGTAATGATTATCTCTGGACAGTGTGATTTCAGTTGATTTTTTACTAATTAAAATTTTTTCCTTTGATTTATTAAGTATAAATCATCTTCCCAAAAGCAATAAACTTTCTGTAACTTAGTAAAAACAAAGGAAATAAAAAAACTTATAAAGACAATTTTAAACCATGGGACAAGGTGTTGCTAAGTGAAATTAGCAGATGATAACATTACAATCAGAATCTATTAAAACTAAAAATTATTAGATCTTTAGACAAGGTAGAAATAAAGAAAAAATGAAAACAATTTACTTGTTAGTATAGGTAGATTATAGTATTTTTCCTTTCCACTTTTATTGTTATAGTGTTACATGATTTTATAGTTTTATTGTCAAAAATACATATATAATTATGTATAGTTTATAAGTTCTTACTCATATTAAGATAAAATCTACTCCACTGTTAAGTTGCACTACTTGATAATAGTTTTTCCCTTTTAGGCCACAAAGACAAAAGTCTAATTTTCCTTCAAAATGAAAGATCTTTAAATATTTAAATACTTGTTCTCTCTAGGTCTTCTCTTTTTCAAATTCCTAGAGGCTTCATAAGATAAGGCACTATGTCTTACTCATCTCTCTGCTGCCAGCAGCTCTGAAATAATGTCTTAAATATAGCAGGCAATCAATAATATTAGTCATTTGTATAACTGAATGTTGAAATCCCCTTATTCTGGCCACCCTTTCCAAGATATGTTTTCATTTGTTAACATGCTTCTTAAAATAGGACTTTCAGTTCCCCCTCAATTCCCTGTATTCTTTGTCTCCAGTGACCTTGTAAAATCTACTCCAACCATTCATTCCATTCCCATGCCTATATACAGTCCTGAAAAACAGCTCTACCTGATAAATTCAAACTAGCCCCCATCATTCTAGCTCACTTGTTAATTTATACGCACTATATCTTCACTATCTCATCAGGACCTTTATGTTAACTGACTGCTCCATTTTCACCATATCCATAATGTTCTTCTTGTCTTCACATCCATTCTCACCATGTTTTCATCTCTGAGTCCATAATTAGCTTTGTTGTTATCTTTATAATATAATTTCCCTTGTCCAATATCCATGCATCACAAGCTCATGAAAGAAAATCTTTGATGTTTCCAACTATAAGCCTTTCCCAAGCCTGTACCTTGGCTGCTGGGTGCTGCTTGGGAAACTGTACCTTAGGAAAGACTGGTCCCTCTACAAATATAGAATTACTGATTTCAAATGGTTATTCAGTGCTGCTACCAATTCTAACACACTAGTCTTGTTATCTCATGCTCCCATCAGGCAAAATTTCAAACCATGTCAACATTCATCAATTTTTCAATTTTTTAAATGTTCATCAAATTTTTAACCCTCCACTTTTCCATTTCTTTGAACACATGACTGTCTTTTCTGTTTCACAGATAAAATAGAAACCACCATATGCAAACTCCCTCAACTTCCCACCACCTCAGAAACTATGATATATTCTCAATAATACTATGTGGCCACAAAAAGGATGGAATTATTTATGTATGTAGGAAATAAAAACAAATAGGAAAGCACTCATTTATGTTTATAATATACTGCCATTTATGTAAAAAATATGTTTGCTTGAAAATACACCCAATTTCTGTGGAAAGATTAAAGACTACATACAGAAAATAAAAAACTACACAGATACAGGCTCCAGCACAAATAATGCCCCTTCTTTATTACAAAATCTTTTATTACAAAATCAAGGCATGTAATTCTGTAATATAACAATATCACATTCAAGCACACCATATGACATTTTAGGTGAAATGTTCAAATTGCTGTCCATCTCATGTGAGACATTAACGTCCCCTACCAACCACACTCAAGCAATCTTTACTTCTGCCGGACCCTGTATTTGCCTAAAAGAAGGTAACCTGAGGTAAAAGGGAGATTTTTCAAAGTATATACTCAGAACTATTGGTTTAGAATTTTGAACCATGTGAAAATACTGTCCAAAACAAACAAACAAAACTAGTAAAAAATGATGCACATCGCTTTCTTGCTTTAAAATCCCACAATCATGGGCTGGGTGGGAGGTATTTAGGGAGTTATTATTTATTGGGCACAGAGTTTCGGTTTGGGATGATGAAAGAGTTCTGGAGAGAAGGATGGTGGTGATGGTTGCACAACATAATTGTACTTCTTTTCACTGAACTCTCCACCTAACAGTTGCTAAAATAGTGTATTTTCTTAGGCATATTTTATTGTAAAATATATCCCCACAATACTGATAACTGAAACACAAAACAAAACACTGTTCAATGCTTCTTATTGCTATTATGATAAAGAACAAGACTCTGACCAAGACTCCATTAGCTCAAGAATATTTAGCTGAACTAGGCTTCTTTTAGTTTCTCAAAGGCACAGCAGTCCCTTACTTTAAGTCTTAGCATATAGATTTCTCTTCCTGGAATGCAAAGAAATAACTATCATTCACAGGTTGCTTTCTTTTGTCTTCTGTTGCTTAATTAGTTAACTCTGCTAAACTCTGCCATAGCATCCTTTACTTCCCTTTTATGACACTCATCACAAATACAATGATCTAGTTAGCTGAATTAAAAACTCATTGAAGGCTGGGACCATGTGAGTCTTATTTCCTAACACATACTTGATGCCTAGCACATGGCATAGCATATAACAGGTACCCTATAAATGTTTTTTGAATTAACGGATTAATTCAAAATTAAACCATACTCCAGATGTGCGCTAATTAATGAGTGGAGTAGGACCAAACCCACTCTGGATGTTTCCTTGATTAATGTGTCCTAATATTACTTTAAATTATTTTTATCAGTTATTACAGACATTGGACTTCCATT